GCTGGATTCTCAAAAAGCGATTTGAAGGTGCGCATTTTATTACAACAATTTGATTGCGCATAACAAAATGTTGCAATGAAAAACGCACCCATATCAACCATATTACAACTAGTGCTCACAACACAAGCAGCACAGCAGCATGCTTCTAGTTCCATAACTGGTGAGAGAGTCTCCAGGTTCACGAGCGTGACAGTTTGACGATTGACGTTTGACTATCTTGCACTTGCGTCAAAAATGAATTCTCTTTACTTGCGAGTTTGCCTGCTTTTTTGAAAATTGTGAAGTGAAAATATTAATCGACAATTATTTCAAAATCTCATTAATCAGTTTGATTTGCACACATCAAAATTGCTTGCATTTGGATTATTCACCATGATTCAAAAGTCTCGAAGAACGTTTGTTCCAAGAAAGGAATGCTGTACCTACATACTTGCCTGATATCCAGTTAGTAGAAAAAACATACAGAAATCAAAACTAACTTGAAAATCGATCAGCTAGAATAAAATTATGTTAATTATGTATATACCTTATCTATTTCTCTCCAGGTTCCATCAGAATTCTCAATGATGTGAGTAAATAAACAAACCACAGTTGAAGAATGCTGGGCAAAATGCATTGAACATAGGTACCTACTTAACTCAATTCTCAGATCGGAGACTGTCATGCCTCTTTTCGCAACTGAAGCCTATTAATTATTGCCACAGGTGAAATAGATAAATTGGAATTGTATTAATTTTAAAGTTAATAAGAGTTGATTTCAGGTACTCAAAGTGAAACCAAGAAATCCTGAATTCTGCCTTCGATTTGGAAATTCTGAAAATGAGAATTGATAGACAAAGGGAGACCTACAAACCCTGAAAATTTACCAAAGGAGTAACTAGGTACCTCATGAAATATCTTTGGTCAAATTTCATGTGAAGGTGCAAGAATATTACAATGTAAAACATTGATACTCACCTTGGAATGATTGTAGTAAATTATATTATAAAAAAAATCTATAGTCTAAATATAATGTTGGAAACTATTTGTTTTTATGATTAGATAATATTGGTCATATTTTCACAGGGTATCTAATGAATAATTCCACATATTCCATCAGTTAGGTATACCCATCAAAATAAGTAATCTTTTTCTTTTCACAAAAAAAGTTTTCTACTTATCTCAATGATAAAGCTAATTGCTGAAGATTGTGCAAATAGATAAACTATGAAACATCCAGTGAAAATACAAGTAACAAACAATGAGACCACAAAGACATAAAAAAATACAACACTAGAATGTTTTTATTGAGGAAAAATAACAGTGCCTATTATATTTATGAATCAGTATGTCTATAATAAGGGTTAGACAAGTGTTCCATCATGAATATAGTTCCTTTTTGAGATCACTTGGAGGCCCACTCATTTGTGTTCTCATAATATCATGTAGTGTTTCCATACTCTTCACTAGTTGTAATGTGACCTTTGGTATAGGTAGATATTATATATTCATTGTAAATCCTTTTTGATAGCTCTAAAATCAAAATATTTCCCATTACCCTTTAGCCATAAGCAAGGCCATAATAGTAACTCTGCTATTTGACTTGAAAATATCAATAAGTAGCTGAGAATTATTACAAAATAGGTATCAGGAAACTAAACTGTTGAATTCACCTTTTAATCCTTGAACCTTATGCTTGGCCTCTAAATAGTCATTTCTGTGGAAGTACTATGCATTGGCATTGCTGAAATAACAATCAGCATTTCTGTATGTACATAAGAAGTGCTGACTTAGGTGTTGAATAGGATAAAACCTGTGCTGGCTGCAGTGTTCCATCATGAACATATTTATTTTCTTTCTTAGCTCACTTGTCATGTTTTTGAACTGTACACTGGAAGTATTGCTGTCTTTTCCATATATATATATATAATATATTTATAGTGAACCGTTTTGCTAGCCCTAAAATCAGAACCTACAAGCTGTCATAACCAAAAAGATTCTTCACAAACATACCTAGATGACCTACTGCGTTATGTGTTTCCCAATTTTGAGCAGGATATTGAACATTTTTCTCCTCTTTTCAGCCATAAGAGAAATTTTGTCAAAAATCTAGGAGAAATGAACATCGAAAGGGCACTTTTATTACCTCAGATCAATCCTCCATCTATATCATTTCAACTATTTTGTTTATTTGCTATTCGGCTTGAAAATAGAAATAACTACCTCACAGTTCGAAAACTGGAAGAACATTCAGATTTCCGAAGATTAATTTGTTTCAGGTTATTGATGATTGGAAATAGAAATTATATAAAAACGTAAACAAAATACAAATGACAAATGAAAGCAAATACACTGTTGCCAAAATTTAGTTCACTTCTCCGTTTTCCATTGGCCAGGAGCGCCCAGGCGCCTCCTACTAGTTGCGCGCGCCGAACTGAATTGTTATTATCATCAAACAAAACAATTCAAACAAAACAATTCAAACAAAACAATTCAAACAAAACAATTCAATCAAAACAATTCAAACAAAACAATTCAAACAATTTAATTCACCAATCTATATGGTGCAAAAAATTATCATCAAACAAATAAATTCAAACAAAACAATTCAAACAAAACAATTCAAACAATTTAATTCACCAATCTATATGGTGCATGAAATTATCATCAAACAAATAAATTCCAACAAAACAATTCAAACAAAACAATTCAAACAATTTAATTCACCAATCTATAAATGGTGTTCATGTAATATTGTCAAACAAATGAATTCAAACAAATAAATTCAAACAATTTAATTCATCAACTCAATTGCTGGTCTTTCTTATGGATGAATTATTATGTTACATGAATTTATACGATTGATGATTGTTTTTGAACGAAATAAAATGTTTGACGAATATTTTTCATCGAACATTCCAAATCATTCATAATAATAGGCTCAGTAATATTCAACCATCAAAAAAATACCTGTCACCAGAATTGTTCAATTTTGAAGATTGATGAATTTAATTGTTCTCTATTTTTATGATTGTTGGAATAATTCCAACAATCACTTAAATTCAGAAATTTCTATTCACAACAAACAATTTAATTCTTCCATCCATTCAGTTGCACAACTTCGAAGGTATGTATTCTTTTGATTGATGAATTAAAATGTTACATGAATTTGAACGATTGATGATATTTTTGCAACAATCGTTTTAAATAGATGAACGATTTAAAAAGATTGTTGTGAAAAAATCATCGAACAATTCTATTCATGATTGAAATATAAACGACAAACGAATAAAATTATTTGTGGACAACATTATAACCGTCAAACAATTAAATTCAACAATCATTTTAATTCTGAATACAAATTTTTTCGATTGATGAATACAAATGTTACATCAATTATTATGATTGATGCTATTTTGATGTTGGTCCTTAGAATTATAGGTATTCAAATGTTTGGTGGAAATTATTTATAAACCAATGCAACTCTTGCAACTCTTGTGTGCATCTAACAAAATAATGTACAATATTAAATCAACAATAGTTTTAATTGCACCGGGAATAAATATGAAACATTTTAAATGTGTGATTTATAATTTACAACGAATTGGTAATAAAAAGTAAAGTGGCGTTCCATATATTTTCACCTAATTTTCTTAGCACTCATTGAAAAAATCTTAATTACAAAAAACGAACAAAAAGCAGAACTGCATATAGTCAATAACGAGTCATTCAACGAGGCATTCAACCGCCGTGGCATCGAGTTGATCAAATTCTTGAAGTAGTCTTGAAGAATTGCCTAAAAATCTCCTTGAAGGGCGAATCGCAGCTCTTGAAGAATCTCTGACATGGCCGAACTAAGACGAATATGAGCATCTGGAGTTCATCCCCAAGATGCTCTAGTTCTAAATTATTGTTAATAAAAATTTTAAAAATCCATACTTCCTTAAAAGACTTGTATCTTCTCTCAAAAAGAAAATATTGACTTGAATCTTGAACCATTGTCTTAAAAAGGGACGAAATAGGATTACACTTCAATCCAAAACATAATAAGGCTCAGTTTAACCACTCACCTTATTTGACCCAGGGCGTTAAGAAGTTAAGGGTGAAAGAATGACTTTTGTTTTTTCCTGTATAATGATCAAGCTATCAGCTTTTCTTAGTACCATATCCAGGCTAACATTCCAAAACATGTATATACGATTTGGTCGAAATTTCACCGAAATCGGACAAGAATTAAAAAAGTTACAGGGCGAACAATTTGGCAAAATTTTTTAGTGGCCGGTTTTTTTGCCGGTGAGTGTAGAAACATAATTATACACTATTAACCCCTGTGCGATCCTGGCGTTATCATTAGTTCTCATTAGAGTCCCTGTATATACCTTATAGTCTAAGGTATATAAAGGGACTTCATCTTTATGTAAGTAAAACATTAGCTATTTTTATTCGTATATCTAAAATCATGTAGCGTCGGCAAGATGTAAGCGAAATCAAAATAGCTCAATTGCAACGTACCGAAAGTTGGCAAATTGGCACATTGTAGAGAAATGTATTTACAATTCCGTAGAATTGACGATGATTATTCTTTATAGGCACTTCGGAATTTGAAAACTGAATGTTATCAGAATCGGTATCGAGAATAATACACCAGCCGATGGATGGTTGATGTTGAAATATTATATCAATGTGAAAATCAATATTATATCCTTTTTGACCACTAAGATAATTGAATACAGCAGGCAAAGCCCTTATGAATGCAAAACATGAGTAACTTGACCTCTTACTAATCAGAAGAGCGATGATGATGCGAAATTCCGAAATAATCCATCAGCGGCGGCAGCCTCTGTAATATTTACTGGCAATACTGGCGCGATCCTTTCGACCTTTCGTATAACCACAATTGTCCGTAGTGCGTGCAACTGACGACATTTGCAAAGTTAAAGTTAAATGAGAAAAAATAAGAAGAACAATAATTTTAAGGTTATGCTCTAATTTTCCCGCGTTTTCTGAAACAGCTATGTATCATGAATCCAGATGAAGCAGAATTTTTGGGCGAGAAACAATTTATTTCAATAATTCCAACGTTTAATAGTGGTGTAGTTCACCTAATATCAGGAGATGTGGGTCCTTTTCGTGCTAGCTTACCAACAAGAGTACCTCTCTGGATGGCAATCAACTTGAAGCAACAACAAAAATGTAAAATTCAGCACCCTGAATGGATGAATGTAGACCAATTAGAGAGGATTAAAGAAGATGAAAAAAAAGACAAGTAGGTAATAAAAATGTGGATATTGGTGTTTTTGATCCATTACATATCTCTTACATATCTTATTGTATACTTGAAAAACCACATACTTCATAGACTGGGAGTTATTTGAAAATATACACAGTAGTTGTAAATTTTAATGATATATGAAGATACCCAGAACTATTACTAAATTTGACATTGGGATGTGTGTTGTGATTGTTTCCAGATTCTTCACCAAAATGCCTAGTGAACAATACATGATTGAAGCAAAATTATTATTGGGTTGTGCTTCAGATGATGTACCAAAGGCAGATGATATAAGGACTATCATTAAAGATATATGGGATATTCGTATGGCAAAACTTAGGTCTTCAGTGAATAATGTATTGAAAAGTGCTGATTCATATGCAGAATTTAAGAATTTAACTGTGATGGAAATCAACTCCATAAGACCCATCTTGCCTCATGCTTTGGATCAAATATATAGAATGAAGGTGATAATGATTTCTTTCTACATGAAATTAATATGAAGTAATTGTTTTTGCATTATAGATTAATAAACATCAAGGAGCCCAAAGTACTACATTATCAACTCCATTCAGAACATCTACTTCATTTTCAAATTTGAGTTGATGTATTCAATGAGAGTTTCCAAGGTAGATTAATACAGTATCACCTAACTGATAATTCGATTCAATAGGAATATTTGCTATCAAGAACAGTTTCTCCTAGCCAGAGGTATGTAAAAAATGTTGAATCAGTTTTCTGTTCACAACTAGTGAAAGAAAAACATGCAGACACTGAAGCAATAAATTATTACTCATTTGACATGTTTCTGTTTCCTTGATTCCACTGTCAACAGGTGGCTGTATTCCAAGGAAAATGATTAGGCAGATGCATTATGCATTCAATATATTTTAATAAAGCTGTACAAAAATGAAGTTTCAAGAAATTGGTTGATTTTCTTCTTTAGAACCTGTCTGTGAGAGATGTTTGACTATATCAACCCAATTCCAGCCTCTAGGTTTCTCACCTTTGCTGTCCAACCTGTTCCACTGTCTTCTTTTCTGGGATTTAGTGAGTTGTTCTTTCCTCTCCTTCTTCAAGCTCTCCTGGAAATAAACTAATCAAAAACAAATACCAGATATGCTGGTAATTTTTACTTGTGTGTCTTGCTCTGTGATACACAATTTATCAACTTCTAGCTTTTCTGACTCCTCTGGTTGCTGATTGATTAACTCATCAAATTTTTCTTTAATAAATTCAAATAAGGAGTAGGTCATTGACATTCCTAAATATTGGTTGGCCTCTTCAGTTACTAAATCAATGATTTTTTTCTTTAACAAGGGAACACTGAAACATTATAAGGAATAAAACATGTTGAATGAACACATATTATATATTGATACTTACACATGCTTGTTATAGAAGGTGTCCATGTTTATGCTTGGTAGCTCATTAGGATACATCTGGCCCCACTTTATTTCTAACAGAAAAGACTTCAATGTATCACTTTCTCCATACTGAAATACATAGATAAGAATTTATTGACAATATATTTATATTGCAGTTTGCAGTTTAGGCAATGATCAATTCCATAATATTCCATGTTCTTGGGTGCTGTAGCATATTTTGAAAATATTTTTATGTTATGGTTACCTTGTATTGATATGTGTTTTGGTCTATTTGTTTGAAGCTTTCATCACCATCATAAATAGAAGAAAGGACTTCTCTCTCTTCCTCTTGCAACTCACTTTCAGACATATTCACATTATTTAGAAATATTGGGAAAAAGTAAATGCAGTTTTGAGTAGTGCACCATTTCTCTCGAATTTTTCAGGTGTCAACGTCAGATCAGAATAGTGGGTTGTATTCATCTTCTTCTCATTCTTTCTTTGTCATTGAACAGTGATTACATCGTCTGAACTCTGTAGGCACACAACTCATATTTATTTTCTAATTGATTTAATGCTTTGCGGATTGATGAATTATTCATCATGATAGTGAATGATGGTGAAGGTGAGTACGAAAATCATGGGATAGAATACTATATAAATGATGAATAGGTAAATTTAATCGCTGAAATTCCTGTTTTTGTTAAGTTTAGGAAACAGAACACCCAACAATGACAAACACCCATAGAAGAAGAAGAAGAATCTGAACTAATGAAATTAACCTGACTTATAAATCCTAAAAGATGAAAAATACATATTATTTTTTGATAATAAAGTATATTTTAGATTTGAGTATTTTCTTGTTCTTCAAAATTGATTTGATAAAGTTAAGTAAAAAATGCAGCGAAGAGTTGTAGTTACTGGTATCGGAGTTATTTCACCCGTGGGATTCGGATTGAAAGAATCCTGGAAAAATATAATTGCTGGAAAATCGGGTATTACTAAATTAGAGGGCAAAGAATATGAAACATTACCATGTAAAGTGGCAGGATTTGTTAATGAGAATGGCGTGAAGCTCCAACTAATTAATCATTTTAGTAAATCAGAACTGAAGACTATGGCACCAGCAACTAGTTATGCCCTTTTGGCTGTGAAAGAGGCATTGTCTGATTCAAAACTAGATAATATGAGTGACGAGACAAAACTGAATACTGGTGTAGCTGTTGGAATGGGTATGGTAGATTTAGATGACATTTGCTCAACATATGAATCACTAAAAAAAGGGTATCATCATGTCAGTCCTTTTTTTGTACCTCGCATCCTTCCCAATATGGCTGCAGGTCAAATTAGTATCAAGCATGGATTGAGAGGCCCCAATCATTCTGTTTCAACAGCTTGTGCTACAGGAGCTCATGCAATTGGTGACTCTTTTCGTTTCATAAGAAATGGTGATGCTGACATAATGGTATGTGGTGGCACTGAAGCATGCATATCTCCTATGTCAATAGCTGGATTCTGTAGACTCAGAGCCCTAAGTACTTCATTCAATGATGAGCCAGAAAAAGCATCAAGGCCATTTGACAAAGCCAGGGAAGGGTTTGTGATGGGGGAAGGAAGTGCTATATTGATTTTAGAAGAACTAGAGCATGCTTTGTCACGTGAAGCCAAAATTTATGCAGAGGTTTTAGGATATGGATTATCAGGAGATGCTTCACATCTTACAGCACCAAGACCAGATGGTGCTGGGGCACTGCTAGCCATGCAAAGAGCTTTGAAAGATGCCAGGGTTGAAGTAGATAATGTTACTTATGTGAATGCCCATGCAACATCTACACCCTTAGGGGATGCCATAGAAGTTAGGGCAATCAAAACTCTGTTCAGTGGAGACTGTGGAAATGTTGCAGTATCTTCAACTAAAGGTGCCCATGGACATTTGTTAGGTGCTGCAGGTAATCTAGAGGCAGCATTTTGTATAAAAGCAGTAGAAGAGGGAATTTTGCCACCTACAGTGAACTTGGAAACTTCTGAAGATGAAGACATTAATTTTGTACCAAAAGTTAGTCAAGAGTGGAAAAAATGTGATAGAAGGATAGTTTTGAAAAATGCATTTGGCTTTGGTGGTACAAATGCTTGTTTATGTTTTGCTCAGTTTATAAACTGAAAACATGGCTAAATAACCTGAGAAATTTACAGGGGATAATCAGGAATCCTGGTCAATCATTGGGTGGTATCAGAAATTTCCGAGATTCCTGAATAGTAATGGGTAACATTTATCTGGTAATTTGAGAAATTCAGAAGAATTAATTTACCAAGGAAGTATACTGGTTCTTGGTTCAACTTTATGTTAATTTAATTCTTATTTAGCCAATAGAATTCAACCATTAAAGCTTTATCAATGTTTGATAATGTGATACTAGTACCCATGCTGGAGAACACCATATTATAGTTGAGTATTATGTTTTGATCATGAATGCCTTAAAGTTTCACATATTCGCTTGATCTGTATTCCATTCGTTATTCTCGGCATCTGATTGATTGGATAACTTGTTTTCAAATAATCACGGCCAGCAATACTTGTTTGTCACACAACGATATTGTTTACCTTCATTTGATTACTAAGCCTAACACAGTGGAATATGGAGAGAAATAAATAATCGCTATTTTTATTATCAGTATTATTATTGTTGATATGCTCACTAACCTAACATTTTCCACTTCTTTTTCCTATACCTATACACTGGCGCGGTATTTGCTATTAGGGCTGACACCTGGTCCAAATGAACATCGATTCGATAGAATACACAAATTGGTCATTCTGTGGTTGTATTTATACTGAAACTACAATTTGAACATCCTTGAAAATTGATTAATCCTGATCTGTAAATGAAGGTAGAATATTCTCAGCACACGAATTATTTGTTGCATTGCAAACATCGTGCCTTTACTGTCTGATGACATGATGCATGTCGACACAAATTGTAATAAAGTAAAGTAATCTGAGGTTTTGCTTCTATCTACTCACTATAATGAAGGTATTATAATAATCTGTCAAGTGTCACATTGGTGGTTACTTCACATATTTATTTTAGTTAATTCTTTCGGTTGCAGAAAAAATAGAATGTTTCATTCGGATCAACAGTGACTTTGACTCGCAAATTTTACTTTCGCTCGGCTTCGCTAGACGCAAATGCACTATTGTTTATGTGACTGTAGTATATTCAAACTGATGACACCTATTTTGATCTGAAGGAACTATAGTACATTCCAGTCAAGATTAGAATTTGTAATCTAATAGTCACTGCCTAGCCTCGCTTTTTATTGGTCTAGACGCCAGACGAGAGTTTACACAAGCAAAACCTTTATAACTAAAGATGAACAATGTAAGTGGTTGTTCACCAGTCTGTTGGAAATAAAATGAAAGTTGAGGTTCTCAACAAATTGACAATCAATGCTTCACATATCAATGTCTTATATTTGCAATAATCGCTGGAGACGAATTCACATTTACATGACAATTGCTGAAATGAATAAATTATTATTCAATCTTTCGTTGCCATCCGGCTGTTTGCATAGTCAGCCGTTACCGGTCCATGAGCCGCTAACATCAAAACAACTAACAAACGACCATCAATATTATCATTGTGTTATTAACTCAATAACTGTTGATTTGCTCAATTTCATATTTAGTGAAATAAATTCTCCATGTCAGCTACACACATAATGTGGTTGGTTCATCGCTGAACTCTCCAATTATTCTCGAATATTTATATTCGGCGTGTTTACTTGTGTAAAGTTGGGAGGGATTTTCCGGGCTAGCCTGGCGCTGGGATATGTTCCGACAGCCTGGAAATCAGCAACAGTAGTCTTTATCCCAAAAATGGGAAAAAAGGACTACACATCAGTAGCAAAGACCCATTAGTCTAACATCCTTCCTGCTCAAAGCGCTGGAGAGGGTGGTGGACAGGTTCCTGCTAGAGGGGCCCCTGATGGCGAGCCCCTTCCACAGGAACATACATACAGAGAGGGGAGGTCGACTGAAACGGCCCTCCATGCTGTAGTGCGAAGGATCGAATGGACATTAGAATTCAAAGAGTTAACGCTGGGGGTGTTCTTCGAAATAGAGAGGGGCCTTCGACAAGGTAAGGACAGACACTATATACACAGGCAGCACTACAGGTCAGAGGAACTCCTCAGCAATGGTCAGCTGGGTAGTGTCGTCACTGACTAGTAGAAAGGTAGAAGTAGTTCAGGGAGACCATAGACTGAGTACGGTGGTTGGTGGGGGCTGCCCCCAGGGAAGTTGCCTTTCTCCCCACCTATGGTGCTTGGTCATGGATGAACTCTTGTGCAGGCTTATCCAAGGAGGTTGCGAGGCGCAGGCATACGCAGACGACGGTTTGGTCTTGGTGAGCAGCCGATTCCTAGGGGTTGTCTGTGAGCGTATGCAGGTAGCCTGCAGGATAATCGAAAGATGGTGTGATGAAGCGGGGCTCTCTGTCAATCAGACAAAAACAGAGATGATCGATCCTATTCACCAACCGAAGGAAAAAGGACGGTTTTAAACCACCTATTATATTTGGCCAAGAGTTGAAGTTAGTCCAACAGGTCAAATACCTAGGTGTCGTCTTAGACCCAAGACTTTCATGGAGGCAACACGTTGATAGGATCGTGCAAAAGTCGGTGGCAATTCTTCGGCAACAAAGGATGGTCGTTGGGAGAACTTGGGGTATTAACCCCGAGATTATGCGCTGGCTATACACAGCGGTCGTAAGACCAAAGATTCAGTATGGATCAGCTGTGTGGTGGCCAGGTGCAGAAACCAGCACAATTAGTCGAAAGCTTAGTAAAGTTCAGAGGATGGCCTGCCTGGCGATCACAGGAGCAATGAGAACGACGCCAACTGCAACGCTGGAGGTACTTCTGGGGCTGCCGTCGCTTCCAATCTGGATTAAGAGCGAAGAAATGGCGGCCTATCTGAGGATGCGGGACTCTGGGGATTGGGCTAACGAAGGAGCAGTGACAGGTCACGCGAAAATTGCGACATGGGTGGAGCAGGAGATCCCTCTCTCCACCCTAAGAGTAAAGAACGCTCAAAATAGGCTGAGATGGAATAGAAGGTTCACCCTCACTATTCCAAGCAGGGAACAATGGGAAGAGAACAGAGTGGAATTCCTCCCGGGGAGTCTAGTATGTTATACGGACGGATCGCGCCTAACTGACAAACAGGACTCAGGTGCAGGAATTCACCTAGAAGGAATATGCATAAGAGAGAGCTACGCTCTTGGAAAGTATACCACAGTGTTCCAGGCTGAGGTCTTTGCCATTCTGGCAGTAGCGGAGAGGCAAGAGGTGAATGAGGGACCAGAGCAGAAGATTAACATCTGATCGGATAGTCAGGCGGCTCTCCGGGCTATCTGCCAACCTAAACCAAGCTCAGCTTTGGTGCAGGAATGTGGCGATGCTCTTGAGAAACTAGCTGAACAGAAGGAAGTCGAACTAGTATGGGTTCCGGGTCACAAGGGGGTGCCCGGGAACGAGGTGGCCGACGAGCTGGCTAGAATCGGATCCGCGACACCGTTCTGGGGACCGGAGCCTGCACTGGGCATAACAAGAAGCCAAACTTCGTCTGCCCTTAACAAATGGGCGGACGAGGCACTAGAAGGATATTGGAGGCGTATAGGCGGCTGCAGGCAGTCGAGAGACCTGGTGGCCGGTCCAAGCAAGCCAAAGAAAGGAAGATAGTCCCACTTGCCGTGAATGCGGAGAAGATGAGGAGACATCACTTCACTTCCTCGGAGAGTGTGAGGCGTATGGAAGGATGAGATTCGAAATCTTTGGAGTAGATAAACTACAACAGGAGGATTTGGTCGAATTAGAGTGGACGGACATCCTGACCTTCATCAGAAGGACGGGAAGGTTCGAAAAGGACAACTAAAAGAGGGATGTGTAGATATGTGGAGAGCAGGGGTTGGCAAAAAGGGCCCATGGGGGCCTACTTGCCTGGCTACAGCCTCCCCACAATACTACTACTACTACTTGTGTAAAGTGGGCTCTGCTATTCATGCCATCTACTTTATTCTTACCTGGAATAATACTAACATATATTTTCTCTGACAAAAAACCTATATTGATGCTGTATTTATATCATGAAAAATATGCAAGGATGCAGGAGAAAATAAAATTATAAAGATCTTAGATGTTATGATAGTAAGGTTAGGAATCGTATATTTCGCCTACATCAAGAAGAATTATTTTTCCGAATCAGTAAAGATATTGAAACACCATTTGAAGTTGTTTATTAGATTTATTATGACTTACATAGAGGAAGGTCTGGCACAATATATGAGCACCAAGAACCTTATACAAAACAATCTATTTCTTTTAACGATAACCCATTATGGAATGCAACAAATAAATCAGTAAATATTGTAAATGTATAGAGGTTTTCTAATTTAAGAAACTTTATATAATCTTGAATTTTCGTTATGACCAATTTAATCCCTTTTTGCCATTTGTGCAGATGTAAGGAAAACAAAATGAAAACAACTGTTTGTGTATAATTTAAAACTGAACAATATAAAAATTATGGAAAAAAATCAGTAGAATGTAAATATATTCAATTTGAAGCATATTTGGTTTGAAGGAGTATACGTGGCACAGGACCCTCAACGCAAAACTGAGCAAACCTTTTCTGGAGCGTTTCTCTCAACTCCTGACGTTTTTCAAAAACTTGCCTATTGTTGCTTTCAAATTCCCTAACCTCTTCCGGAGTTATGTAGCATTCCTCATCGTCATCATCACTATGAACCTTGAAAAAATGCAATATTAGTTACCTCATATTCATACAGGGTGTTTTCGTAATAAGGTACACAATGCTCATCAGAGCAAATGTCAACATTTTTTAGATATCTTGAGTTTCCCATTTCACGTGCTTGAATTTAGACTGAACTAATTTTTGCAACACCACGAGCAAGAAATGCGTTGCATTAATAAGAAAATACTTATTGAAAATAAATCAGTAGAACAGACAAGGAAAGAATTATCGCGCGAGAATTGACTATATCGATTAGAAGCGATAAGCATGCAATATCAAACATTGTGTAGATTTTTATATAGCTGTGTAATTGTAATTCGTATTCCATGATCAGTCTGCAACCTTTCGACGTTCACATCGTCGTTTGTCATCATTTTTTCTCAGGCGCTCATGTGCCAGCCGCTACTGCAGTGTATGAATATCTGTGTATTTGAGAATACAATAGAACATTTGCTGATGTCCAACTCAAAGCAATACTGGTATACAAACTTGTATAGTATGACGACCAGCACTTGACAAGCCTCATCAGTCTGCCTTGCATCAGACTCCCTTGTCTTGTACCGTGCGAAAATCTACTTTACACCTCAACGGCTTCTCATGATCTACAAAGCACAGATACGGCCAGTTTTAGAATACTGTTCTCATGTATGGGGTTCAGAATCTAACCATACGCTGTTTGGTTTCAACCAGAGAAGAGCCTGGCGGGTGATGCCACACTCATCAACTCTTCGATCCCATTAGAACACCGTAGAAAAGTCAGCGACCTTTCACTTTTTTATGGATACTTCCACGGGAAATGTTCCTCAGAAATCTCAATTCCATCACTAGCAATACCATCAGATGAACTCTACAGGCCCAGTCAGCACATCCCTAGATCGTTAACCTTCAAAAATGTCGAACAACACTTCCAAAACTCATTCGTCTATAGAACGGCGAAGCTTTGGAATTCTTTGAAAATGGAAGTATTCTCAAGAACTTATATCCTCCAAAAGTTTTAAAAAAAAGTTCCTACATCCTCTTTCTATCTATCCTACCTAGGAACGCACGATGTTCCACGAACAATACAGGAATTTCCTTTCGTGGGCTTCAAGAGATAAAAAAAAGTCGTCATGGTATTTTTCAGAATCATTTCGCGATGTCCTCACAGGTATTCCTTTCACAATGATGTTGGTGAACCGCGAAATATTGAACCAGAAGAACACTATAGAGAAAGAAAAACCTCACCTCCGACATGTCTTGTTAGCTAAACTGCTGCCCGTTCCCACCGTAAGACAATCTACAGTCCGCTATGTAGTCGCTGTCATGTTGGCAACAAGTATCAGAACAACCGAGCTCTGAGTTTTCCGGAGAACTAGACAAGCTCGGATCAGAGATCCGGTCTCGATTATCAGCTGCATAGTGCAACTGATAAGGTTTGGCAAGCCCTAACTGTCTGCCTTGCATCAGATTCTCTTGAGCCTTGAGATTCAAGGTTAAATCGTCGTCATACTTTTTTTCAGTATCCTTTCGCGATGACCTCACAGGTATTCCTTTCACAATGATGTGGTAAACCGCGAAATATTCAACCAGAACACTATAGAAAAAAAAAACGTCACCTCCAACATTTCTTGTTAATTACACTGCTGCCCGTTCCCACCGTAAGACAATCTACAGTGCGCTACGTAATTGATGTCGTGTTGGCAACTTATGTCGGAGCAAACGAGCTCTGAGCTTTCCGGAGAACTAGCCAAGCTCGAGATCAGAGATCCGGTCTCGATTGTCAGCTGCCTAGTGCAACTGATGAGGTTTGGCAAGCCCAAACAGTCTGCCTTGCACCAGAATCTCTTAAGCCTTGAGATTCTAGGTTAGGTTGTCGTGGTAATATTTTCAGAATTCTTTGACGATGACCTCACAGGTATTCTCCTTTCACAATAATGAGGTAAACCGCGAAATATTCAACCAGAAGAACACTATAGGAAAAGAGAAACCTCACCTCCCATTTCTTGTTAACTAGACTGCTGCCCGTTTCCACGGTAAGACAATCTACAGTCCGCTATGCAGTCGGTGCAACAATTATCGGAACAAATGAGCTCCGAGCCTTCCGGGAAACTAAACGGGCTCAAGATCAGAGATCCGGTCTTCATTGTAAGCTGTCTAGTGCAACTGATGAGGTTTGGCAAGCCCAAACAGTCTGCCTTGCATCAGAATCTCTTGAGCCTTGAGATTCTAGGTTAGGTTGTATGGTAATATTTTCAGAATTCTTTGACGATGACCTCACAGGTATTCTCCTTTCACAATAATGAGGTAAACCGCGAAATATTCAACCAGAAGAACACTATAGGAAAAGAGAAACCTCACCTCCCATTTCTTGTTAACTAGACTGCTGCCCGTTTCCACGGTAAGACAATCTACAGTCCGCTATGCAGTCGGTGCAACAATTATCGGAACAAATGAGCTCCGAGCCTTCCGGGAAACTAAACGGGCTCAAGATCAGAGATCCGGTCTTCATTGTAAGCTGTCTAGTGCAACTGATGAGGTTTGGCAAGCCCAAACAGTCTGCCTTGCATCAGAATCTCTTGAGCCTTGAGATTCTAGGTTAGGTTGTATGGTAATATTTTCAGAATTCTTTGACGATGACCTCACAGGTATTCTCCTTTCACAATAATGAGGTAAACCGCGAAATATTCAACCAGAAGAACACTATAGGAAAAGAGAAACCTCACCTCCCATTTCTTGTTAACTAGACTGCTGCCCGTTCCTACGGTAAGACAATCCACAGTCCGCTATGCAGTCGGTGCAACAATTATCGGAACAAATGAGCTCCGAGCCTTCCGGGAAACTGAACAGGCTCAAGATCAGAGATCCGGTCTTCATTGTAAGCTGTCTAGTGCAACTGATGAGGTTTGGCAAGCCCAAACAGTCTGCCTTGCATCAGAATCTCTTAAGCCTTGAGATTCTAGGTTAGGTTGTCGTGGTAATATTTTCAGAATTCTTTGACGATGACCTCACAGGTATTCTCATATCACAATAATGAGGTAAACCGCGAAATATTCAACCAGAAGAACACTATAGGTAAAGAGAAACCTCACCTCCCATTTCTTGTTAACCAGACTGCTGACCGTTCCCACGGTAAGACAATCTACAGTCCGCTATGCAGTCGGTGCAACAATTATCGGAACAAATGAGCTCCGAGCCTTCCGGGAAACTAAACGGGCTCAAGATCAGAGATCCGGTCTTCATTGTAAGCTGTCTAGTGCAACTGATGAGGTTTGGCAAGTCCAAACAGTCTGCCTTGCATCAGAATCTCTCAAGCCTTGAGATTCTAGGTTAGGTTGTCGTGGTAATATTTTCAGAATTCTTTGACGATGACCTCACAGGTATTCTCCTTTCACAATAATGAGGTAAACCGCGAAATATTCAACCAGAAGAACACTATAGGTAAAGAGAAACCTCACCTCCCATTTCTTGTTAACCAGACTGCTGACCGTTCCCACGGTAAGACAATCTACAGTCCGCTATGCAGTCGGTGCAACAATTATCGGAACAAATGAGCTCCGAGCCTTCCGGGAAACTGAACAGGCTCAAGATCAGAGATCCGGTCTTCATTGTAAGCTGCCTAGTGCAACTGATGAGGCTTGGCAAGCCCCAAGAGCCTGCCTTGCATCAGAATCTCTTAAGCTTTGAGATTCTAGGTTAGGTTGCCGTGGTATTTTTTTCAGAATTATTTCACGATGGCGTTATAGGTATTCCTTTCACAATGATGTGGTAATCCGCGAAATATTAAAGCAGAAGAACACTATACAAAAAGAGAAACCTCACCTCTAACATTTCTTGTAAACTAAGCTGCTGCCCATTGCCACCATAAGACAATCTACAGTGCGCTATGTAGTCGGTGTCATGCTGGCAACAAGTGTCGGAGCAGGCGAGCTCCGAGCCTTCCGGAGAACTGGACAGGCTCGAGGTCAGGGATCCGGTCTCGCAGCAGCCGTTGTTGTTCTCTGAGGAGTAGCCGCAATCGTGGTAGTGGTCGCTGTTCGAGCCAAGATCCTTTTTAGCGTGGAAGTCTCCGTAATAGCCCAACGGTCTGGAAAAAAATTTGGTTCCATACTAAATAATCAAATATTTCCATGTAGGTGATCTGAACATATGAGAAGAGGGGAGACATAACAATTCATTCATAAAACACTTTTTGTATACAATTATACATGCTTCCAAAGTTTCAAATGGCTTATTTTATTACCAAATATTCCTAGTACCTTAGGTACATCTAATTTTGATACATCATCTAGTGGACTTCAAACAAAAGAAACAATGTTTTTTGCATTGATTTGTTAATAAACATAATATAACTACACCACTGCTAAAGTTGAAAGAAACCTTATTTAGCGTCGAAATATCAATTCTAGTTTTGGACCACGGACCACGTACTGGCGAACCATAGTAGATTGTTAATAATTGTCTTTGTATAGTTTTCTAACAATAAAACAATGAAAATCAATAGACACACAAAAGGTCCTGAAATTGTAACAAACACAGCACAACAACGCTGTAACGTCGGCTTTCAAAATAAGTGAATTACTTTCAAAAAAATATGTGTCACTTGTAGTGAAGATGCTGATATAGCTTTGCCAGTTATTTCCATAATGCAAATTATGATTTTATGTAATAATCAAATTAGGAAAATTTTAATAATTTCAATAGCAGAATTCACATATTTCAATAATTTCAACACAGGAGGTTAACCTAGGGCAATCCGCAAAAATTTGTCATCATTGTTTTGTGCTGAAAACGATGTTGGATCGGGACAAAATGTAAACACTATCGTCTCCCCGCATATTATATGTCTATGGATCTGACAACCTCCGTTCCCATGTAAGTTTCTGGAGTGACGTAACACGTCAACACTCGAGGGTTGTTAACTCAACAGGATGGACGATCTTGCCGTGACCAATCGATGACGTCATTTCTACCATTGATTGTTGTTATCTCGTCAAGAATACTGAACCTCAGAGTTTGTTTTGAACTTTCAACGAATATTTTTCAACGAATTCATAGACTCATTGATATTAATTGAATGGCTTAGTAAATTCAGAGAATCTTTTTGGCTCTGGCTCTCCGTCTATTAGCCTTCTAGGTCTATGAGTTCTGTGATCGAAATATAAATCCTTGCTCAACACTCACCTAGTATCACATTTACAAGCGAACCCCTTCCGCCCGTCCTTCACCTCGCTGTCGCACTTGCACTCCTCCGTCCACCCCTCGCCTTCGCATCCCCCCTCTTTCTTGCCCCCACCCCTCTTTCCGCCCTTCGCGTCGTAGTCGTCGTAGTCCTCGCCGCCCCCGCATTTCCTGCCGCCCCCCTGCTCGGGCGGCTGCAACTGCTCGCACTCGTAGCAGGTCAGAGAGGCGGTGGAGTCGTTCTTGTCGTTCGGGCACGAGCACTCCTTCTCTTCTTCGTCGTCGTCGTCGTTGTCGCAGCAGTCGGCGCAGTTCTCTTTGCCTTCGAGGTCGGCGGTCTTGCCTAGAGGACGCGAAGAATGAGGAACACATTCATAAAAGGTTCATCCGACAACCTTCCACAAATAAGACTTCCAGATGATTTACAAATTTCATATCGATAATATGGATTGATTCTTAGGAGAATCTTGGAATTCAAACAATACAAATTTGAGATAACGTTCTCTACTATCTGAAGTAGATATACGCAATTACCGCAACTCCAGTGATGTTCCTGGGTTAAAATTCATCATACTAGAATTGAACTCATTTCCGTACTAGATTCGAGTATAAGGTACTAGATTATTAGTAGTAATGCCAGATTTTAAAACTAGGCCTTTAGTAACACACTTGGGAGGGTCCAGCTTTCGAAATGTTGGCAAAGGCTGCGACACAATTGAAGTTTCATGTTATTAGTGTTATGTTTTATAATTTAAGATGCAAGAATTATAAAATGAACAAACAGGTCTTTGTGGCGAACCACAGAACACAAATTTATGAATTAGGTAATAAGTTTCATATTTCAAGATACGGACGTGATGGTTTTTATACTTTAAAATTCAGAAACCCAACCAATCACAGCAATTATTTTTCACACGGAACTATATTTCTGTCACATCATCTTGAATTTGAAGAAAAAGTCGTCAAACAACCTTATTGATGGAATTCCAGCTTTTATATTTCAATTCTGTTTTGGCATCCTGTTTTTGCATCCTGTTTTTATTTTGACTTCAATGGCTCTGTTCATTCAATCCTGTTGCCGGACCCTATATTAATGTATTTGTTGGAACCAATTTTCTTGTAATGATGATTCTTCTTAAGATAACCGATGAAAAAAAAACTTTGAAAACGAAATCCCGCTCACCCTTTTTCCTCTTCCGCTTGATCTTCTTCTGCTCCCGCCTGATCTGCTTCTGCTGCTCCTCCCTAGCGAACTCCGCGTAGAGCAGCTCCAGCTGCGACACGCCCCTTATCCGTTCCACGGCCTGCTCGAAGCTGCGGCTGAGCGTGTGCACGGCCACGGCGGCGAACACCTGACAGGTGCACTCCTCTTCGCGCATGCGCATGTAGACGCGGTGCAGCCGCTCGTACATGCAGATGCCGAGACACGTCAGCACCTCCTCTTGCGCTATCTCCAATGTTTTGGCGTGCCTTTCGCGACGACTGGAAAGCGAACATTAAAGCGTCAACTTAAAACAGGAGAGGACAATTGAAAGGCTTGTGCGACGAGATCTCTAGTTTGAAGAAGTGGAAATCAAACCACTGTGACATTTAGGCTCCATTCCATATGCTATACCATGCACTGAGCATAATTTAACCCAAATCTGAGAAGCGCCAAGCTCAATAATCGAACCCACGACCTCTTGATTACAAGTGTGATCGCCTGCCCGTTCGACTTCTGACCGAACTAACGGAACAAAAAACAAATGAAGCATAAAGCGTCGTATATATACAAACATTTATTCATGGAAAAGTTAACGAAAAACTCCGTTACAAACTAAAGGAAAATCTTCTATTGAATTTGGAGAATCGGTTGATGATTTTCAACGCGTTAGGAGAGATCTGGAGATGTATATTTAAAAGAGCTAAGCCCGTAGTTAGCCTCTCTTCTGACATTCTTCCTTCCAAGTTTTCAGGCACCTTAAAGTAGAAAATGACCTTTCTGCTGTGGCGGCGCTTATGGGGAAGGTTGCAAAAATTTTCAGGAAAATCTTGATATTAGGATATAAGTCATTGTCACAAACTTCAATTGTAGAAGGGACACAACTGGTCACGTTTGAACTATTTTCTGCGAGCTCTCGCCTCCACTTTGAAATCCATAGCTGATATTCTGTAACGACCGAAGAAGCAGGAACTCCCAGATAATGAGTATAGAATTCTGCTCCCTTCTTCACATTTATTAGGTCATTCTCAGTGTATTCTGATTTTGTATAAAAATACCTAACCCAAACAGGTTCAAAGTATCTTCAGAAAGGCGGTCATGACCCCTGTGACCCTCCCCCTTGGACCGCGCCTGGTTCAAATGTGAATGGATCGTTCTTCAACAAGATGTGTCACGTGACCGACTGGGTCCCTATATACATCCTCTTGGGTCCTTCGCCACAACCAGACACGTGTATTTTTGTAAACTTTGTTGATTCGATTGAAATAATAAAAAGTAAACGGCTCTTTACAGACCTAACAAATAATAAAAAAAAAATTCTTGGTTCAAGATGTCCGGCTATCAGCAGAAAATGGGCCAAGAGTTCTGGGTTGTATGATTGAGGATGCAATAGTGGGAAATTTCACAGTTACATTCCCAGTGTTGGGCCTTCGGCGGGCAAACAGATCTCGACAGAGTCGAATGATGTCTTTTAAGAATTGACGAACCTGCCGGAAGTTGTTTCGAGGGGTGCCGACATGCCCGACCTTGGGGAATGGGGTGGTATGTCAGATTTCGATCTTGTGTCAAATGTAGACGACTCATCTGAAATACCTTTGCCATCCCCGGAACTTATTCCGCCGGGCAACCCGGGATTTTAAATGATGATTTGGCCTCGTCGAAAGTCGACTGTGGGGGGTGCGGATCAACAACTATGTATATCAAGAATGGCCAACTTGCAACAGCAGCATGGGCTAAATAATAGTCCAGTTCATTATATCAGGGCCTACTCTATCTCACCGGGCCGGAGTATCGCTTTCGTGACGTCACACTAGTAGGGACAAAATCGAGGCGCTGGAAATTGCGTTTCCCAATTCATTGATGTACCACGGAAAAACGGTAACAGTTATCAAAAAATGTCAGGAGATCAAATATATACAGACTTGACTTTTTCAAGAGATGAATCAATATTCGCTGATTTACGATTAGTAGTTCAAGAAATATAGCGTATCAAAATGAATTGACTACATTCATAATTGTCGTTTTTAAAACAGCTGCTAGAATTTCAATATTCAATTCACAGAAATGATTCAAGCATGCAAAGGCATCTAGATTGACTGTAATTTTTTCCAAAATTCCCAAGAGCCAATAACAAACCGATATTTCAATTCAAGTAAAATGGTGATTCAGATGATTATTACAGACTAGTTCAAAAAGTTAGACGGCCCCCATGCTGAACCTATTAGTTGTGGATATATGCTGTCACTGACTCTTTTGTACTAAATTTCATTGCCTACAAATCGATATGATACACTTTTACTGTATCTCAGAGGATTTTAGCAGCGTTTACTTCTAAAGATGATCTGGACACACTTTGATGACGTTAGAAATTATATACCTACCCGAGTAGACACATACACAATACTAAACGAATGCCATTCTGAAAATATTCAACATAATGAAAGAGAAAAAATAGCCAGATACAAAATAACATGTACTTATAACAAAATATATATATCACAAATTAAAAATGGGCTCAAAGCTTCATATTCATCCGGAAAGTCTGATGATTCTTCTTTTCGTATTATTTGACTGAATCCCGCTATATGTCATATGTAATACCCAATTATTCAACACAATATTCAATATAGTCTTCAAAATATCAAAAGACCCACAACTGGAACATGAGAAATGAAACGTGCATTACTCTTTACCTATAGGGAATTACCTCGAAATCGTTAAAACGGGGAAATTAGGAAGCTATAATACTAGACAAATTTTTACATGCTCTCTATTTCTAATTTATTTCGGACTTATCGTAGGTAGCTCAATAATTTTCTCAGTATTTGATTGATGCATTATCTTAGTTTGACATACTCAGTCAGTTTAATTTTAAACCGATTCCAAATTGGCAAAAAATAGTATTCCGTAGTACAACGTCCTGATTTTCATTAAAATTGAATTTATTCACAACATAAATCGGTACTGGTTCATCCTGAGGAATTTATTTTTTCACTGAAAGTTGGGTAGTTCATCAGGGATCAATTTATTCGTCTCGATTGAGTGTGCTTCTAATTTTTGAAGTAAATGAGCTATAACCTTTCAATTACGAACGCACTGATATGAAATGATGTGAAATCTCAACCTACTAGTGTGACGTCAGCATCGAGGTAGAGGGGATAGACTACGGCCCGGTGAGATAGAGTAGGCCCTGATTATATCCATCCTTTTTGGTCACTCAACGTCAGTTGTCTCGCAGGTAAGATTTCATTTTTAGAACAATGATAGTTTTTCCAGTATTGCATTTGTTTTAGGACTTTACCCATCTACTTACTGTTATAAAGTTTATAACTCATGAGAGTGGAGTAAAATTGCAAATCCACTTGATTTCTGCAGATTACAACCGCATTCTAAAACGCCACTAATGGAACAACCACGGAACATAATAGTAGATTGTTTTATTAGGATCAAAAGTAACACTTTGTTTTTTGCATTTGCAAGGCGGAGCGTTTAGCAAAGCCTGGTTTAATCCCTGGTTTCATCAAAATCAGTGACAGTCAGCAGAGATTTAGGTTGGAGCTAACCCAACATTTTGAACTGTTATGGAATATTCTGAAAGAACAGCTGAATCTCTCCATGAAAATATTCATGGAAGGAGCTACAAACTGATGATGTAGATATAACTGAATTGGTGAACTTTGTAGTACCCATTTGAGCATCTTGTGTACCTATACCTACAGAGTAAGTGATAATAATCTCGAAAAATAGTCACAAAGAATTTGTATAGGTAAGCAGATTGCAGGTTGAGATTACCTCGAGATATTGTGGACATGATAGATCAGATCTGTTGTTCCCCACTATGTCTGTTTTATCCAGGATATTATTTGTTCATAGTGGCTCCTCCAAATCAATTAGATTCTCTGTGGAATCTGATAATTTTGAGGCATGTGAGGTACATCAATACTATAGTTCTAGGGGTATATGGTAACATTATAGGAATTTCCTGTCATGTGCTCCAAGAGATTAAAAAAAATCTTGCCTGAATGCAGCATTTCTTTTTGTTGGAGCCTCCAATGGATTAGATGAACCATAATTTTGTCATGATTAGATAGAAAACACAAGAAAAAAGTTGGAATACACTGACATGAACTAGCAAAATATCCGTCTTAAAATTAGGGGGCATACTCAATATCTAGGTTCCACTACAAAAAATGGAAATATTTCTGTTTGTTATTGATATTCAGACTATAGAACTATGTCTTACCATATCTTGAAATCATCTTGAAAATGTTGGGCACTTTGCCCCCTATACTTTTTACTATTGTTTTTTTCACTTCCACATTATACGAGGGGTAAATCTCCAGGAAAAACGTGTACACCAGACTTCCAATGACCAAAGACCTCCAAAAACTTCCAAAGACTCCCAAAGACTTTCAAAGACTCCCAAAGACTCCCAAAGACTTTCAAAGATTCCCAAAGACTTCCAAAGACATCCAAAGACTTCCAAAGACATCCAAAGAATTCCAAAGACTTCCAAAGACTTCCAACAGAGTGTACACCAGACTTCCAAGGAGATTTACCCCTCGACATTATACTCATACATAACCTAATTATTTGATATTCTTTCTGTAAAAACTTCTCTTTATAGAAATGTTCTGCTGATGATGAACTGATGATAGTTCAGAACATGTTCAGATAATTCAGATAATAGTAATAATAAATTTGTGGAGATGACTTAGTGTGTCTTGTTATAGAAAATCTTCTTATTCTCTTGGTCCTTATACATGAGGGAAATAGTCACTGTATGGTGAAATTACCTACTGCTTATTTCATCTACTAAACCAATGATGTGAATGATGGTTGTAAAAACAATTTTAGTAACTCATGTCTCTAGGCCAGTGGATCAGTTGAATCTCTTGCACCAATGAGAATTTCATTTGAAATTACTGCAATAATAGTGCACTAGAAGGATTCAAAGAGTCAAACAAATATTTTTAGAATGGATATTTCCCAAAATATCTGAATTATCATCCAACTCTATAGGGTAACTATTTATATTGCTATGCTCTCGGCTATGCTCATGATATTATGTGGTATCTCCAAAGCAATAAGATTCTCATTTTCATTTCAATATAAGAAAGATGCTCCAATTGAAGTCTTCAATATAAAACTCCTACACAGGGTGTCCCTAGCTACTAGGACAGTTAATTATCCCTTGAACCATAGTGAATGTTCAGAAAATTTACAATTCAATCACATGATCTCAGATTGAAATAAAAGGAATGAACTCTTCTCAAATATCTTTCACTTACCTTCCCAAAAGTTCAGGTTCTGCACGACTAATTAACTTTGTAATATAGTCAGTCTTAGTTTGTAAATGGATGTGCTTATCAGGCAAGCATCTCTTTATCCCAGAATACAGAGAAGAAACATATCCTTTTTCTTTTGTTGGCTCAGGTTCTTCAACAAGTAGGGTATAAGCTGGAAACAATATGGATTGCATCAAAATTGTTCACAGAATAAATCAAACATGTTCAAGAATTGTATCCTACATATATTATTATGCAATTGATAAATACCTTTGAGAACTTTTGTTCTACATTCCCCACAAAACCTATGCTTGCGCAAGTATGTCTCCAAGGTGCTGTGAAGACTAGATGCTTCAATGATACAAACATCTTTTTTGCAATCAGGTTTCATACAGTCCCACACATCTCTCCAAACAGGAGTCAATGGTCTAGTGCGTTGAGAATCCAGTGAATGTAAGAGACACCTGACACTCTTTTTGTTCCTTTTTGGTTGATTTTCAATCAGCTTTGCTAGGCGCACACTATTGAAAATCAGTTTATGTAGATATTGATTAAATTAATACTTGTAACTTACGAATGATCATGGAAAATGGATCCAAGAATAGGATAGGCTTGTTTGTCATCCTTTATTGTGATAGTTCCATCTGACTTGACAATTAGAGGGTCCAGTGTAGGATGACCAAATTTGAATAACTGGTAATACAGTCTATCAACACTATAAAAAAGTTTAGGACCATTGGTTACAGAAGTGAAAACCACATATGAATATTGATTCTTAGCAACATTACAGATTACCGCATATAATAAAATGAGATTGAAGAGATGGTAATACTTCAGTGAACTTGAAAATTGGAATAATGGTCTGTTCCTCAGTCTGTTCATAGAAATTTCATATATTTAATTAACATTTAATTCCATTTCAACAGCTACATTTCCCATAAGAAATGAACTAAACTGAAAATTAATCAAATGATAATCTCTGAACATATCTGACAGGAATGCTTGAACTCTTGAGTAAAAATTGAATATTATCAAGATATTTCTATGAAGACCATTAGGTGCTCTCCACTGATCTAAGTAGATTGAAAAAGCCAAAACTATGAGAAAGTTCAAACACATTTACTCACCTTCTTCTACAACCAACACATGGTACATTTTGGTTCAGAACATGCATTAGTTCTGATTTAGTGATTTGCAGAGCATTCTGAAGCTCTTGTGGGGACAGAACCCCCCATTTGTAAGCAAACTCTTCAAGGTCCTTCCCTCTCAGTACTTGATTATCACAAATTATTCCAGAACTCTTTACATCCATGACCAGCTGAAAGACAAGTTACTAGGTCAAATCACTTATGAATAATAAAAAAATTGGAAATCAGATGAAGTGAATTATGCTCAGTGTAAAATAAAGGGTCACATTGAGAAACATAAATAATATTGCATGGAATATTGCCATTACCGTTAAATTTTCATCAACAACTAGTGGTAGTTGCCTCCTACCAACAGGGTTCGACGGACGATATACATCAACAAGCTTTGGTAATTTTTCTTTATTACTCATAGCAGAGACCTTATAGGCTTCAGATGTGATATTTGGATTTTTATTAAGCTAATGAATATTTACTGAATTTTATATATAACTTATCTTCAGAACAACATTACATGCCCTACCATTTGCAATTTGACTGACAACGTCATTAACGTCAATATCGCCAATCAGGTGGTGTCAGGAGTGTCATTCTAGATGACAAACGACACAACCTCACAGAATACATTTCATATTTCAGCGAATCCGTCACAAGTCACAGAATCTCATTCATGCACGAGCACGAGCTCTCTTCCACCGTAATTTCGTTCAGAGGGGTTGAGGCACAGTAAATTATCCTCGAGGGAGAAGCGGAGAAGTTCCTAGTTTCCTAATTCCGGATGAGCACTACGCACATAAAAAACGGATCATTTAATTTTAAATGTTTTTTTTTTCGTATTATTTCGAACCAATCAGAACGTTCAATTTAGTTAGGCTACCAAATTATTTCCATTTCCATGGTAACCAATTTATATTAGTGATTTATTCTTCCAATCCAATTCCAATCCAAACTAATAATTGAAATATTTCACTATAAATGAACCGAATCGGTTATTATGCGTTCTTTCGAAAGAATTCGATTAGGCATAATGCATGTTGACTGATTCAGTTCAGGCCAAGTGAAAAATGTCAGTTCGGAACGAAAAAATAATACTATTGTTACATACAAACGAAGCGCATCGTTGAATTTTTATGTTCGTTCAGAACTACTCAAAAAATAATCGCATCGGATACAATTCGAACTTCAATTTATCATTCCAGAATTACGTCATTTGACAGGTTGCTGAGGGGCAAACATTGTATTTTGTCAAGATTTGTCATATAAAACCAGAATTAGTGGGATCGTTTTCCTTGGAATCCGAGTTGGAACCAGAAAGAATTTCATAATTTTGTTTGGTGAAACTGTTATTATATTGTGGATGTGGCAGGGATGGCCAGGGCTATGCTCATATCAGAGGTAACCTAACAGATAGTTTATGTGTTCCTCAAGAAACCATGTCCAAATCACGTGTTCTAGCAGAATGATCAATATCTCCAAGCTTATACATATCAAACTTCCTGAACAATTACAAATCGTGTCACTTCAGCAGAATAATCCTTGCGCTTCGCGGTCGAATTATTTCAACTGTTAAACGACACTCTTTTTAATTATATGCAACAAGTCATCGATGTATAACTCGAATATTGAAGTAAGTACTTATAGTATCACTACTGATGAATATTGTCTTCCGCAGTACACGCATTTTTGAGAGAATAAACCAAAAAAACAATCAAAACGTCGATGGTAACCGTATACGATCCCGATTATGCTCGATGACCTGAGTCATGAATGGGGGCTAACACCACCCATTGTGCACCCACATGTTCAGTTGGGTATGCCCACTTTCTTGGGAAAGTTCAGCAGCTTTCTCAGCTGAATCTCTTTCACGTCCTCTGGCCACGAAATTATGTTGCCAAGGACAGCCCTCCTCTGATGTGTCATTGCTGGGCACTCAGTGAGGAGATGCGATGACATTTCGTCATCTTCCAGGAACCATCATCTGCAAAGGAGAGCATCTTTGATTCCGATAAGCTCTAGGTGCCTATTGAGGTGGTTGTGCCCCGTTAGTAGAAGTACCAGAGTGTATTTTTGGTACATATTTGTCGCTCCTGCAAATTTCATAATTCTAAATAAAAAATTACGTAAGATACAGGGGAGCTTTCATTAGAAGTGAGACACCCTGTATATATCTGAGAACATCCTTCTTCAATACTCGACCTTTCGCCACTACCTTGTAGCATGTAAATTTTCATTACTGTATATTTTGTCTGATTCTATAATATTCTGTAATGCTGAGCACATCTGACAGGATATTTTGTCACAATAACATGGTTAACATTTTTCAATAACATAAATTGAACTCAATTTGCTTCATATTATTTAATTATTCTCAAACCTGATATGTGGATACACACCTGAGATTTCACACTGTACATAAAATAAAAATACAATTTCTATAAATACACTGATATCTCTTGCTATATCTGCTTTGTTGTGATCCAAGTAGAAGGATGATTCGGATGGTTTTACAGAAACTTATCTGAAAGAGATAAATAATATAAAGTAATATGAAATACCATTTCAGAGACATTCTCATACTCACTTTTCACACTGCTATTTCCACTTGAAACTTCATCACAGTAGGACAATAGGTATTGGATTTTCCAGGAATGCTGAGGCGTATGGTTTCACTAGGAATCGACCATGGTGAATCAATTAACTTCGTTTGGCATTATTTTCTTGATTGATGCATTTGATAAATTCAGGTTGATGTTTTGATTTTGTTGATCATCTATCTGTTATTTCGCTTTACGTCAATTAGCTGTCGGTCATGACACCATGTCAACAGTGTCAAACTTGTCATGCGCCAAACGCCGATTCGGATTGATATGTCCTTAAGCGGCGTTCACAACCAAACTTTTTACGTTTTGCTTTTTACGTTTCGCACTCTGATTGGTGAAGCAAAATATATGATTGAAATGACGCAAAAAGCTGAAAATATTCAGCTTTTTGCGTTGCAAGAAGCCATCGTCTGTGAAAATAGCAATAATAGACAAATGATATTGTTATAATACTACAGAACAATACATGTATGGAACATTCTATATGGAAGTTATGATAATGTTTTGCTCATGATTCTTTCGTGAATCCACGGAATAGTAGATAGGTATACTGTTCAATTTATTATTTTCTTCTTGAGGATTGATTTTTCTCAATCAATCAATTTACGTCACCGCCAGCCATATGAACATTATTAATTATCTAATCATTATTATTGTTATGATTATTCCACTTCATTTCAGGATGAAACACAAATGACAAAATCAAGGCAACTGAGAAAAGTAGAAAGAAGTCACGTTTTGTTGTGAATGACATTTGCATAAGTTTAATTCACGTGTAATCTCAGATTCTGCTTCACCAATCAGAATACGAAACGTAATAAGCGAAACGTAAAAAGTTTGGTTGTGAACGCCGCTTTAGATCATCATCGTCGAACCAACAAGCCGAGTATGCATGAAGAAAGGTGTGACGTCATTTTGGTCATCAATTCTGATTGGTTCAGATAGACATCTGGGAAGAATCAAGTCTCTGGAGGGAGTAGCGATAACGTCTTTTATTTTGGATATTCAAATTTTCCGCCAATTTGAAAAACGGAAATCGTTAAGTTGTTCTCGAAGTTTCTGGAAATTTGGAGAAGGGATTTCCTTTCTGGTCGTGAGACGAGAGCTCACTTCAGAAAAATTCTTCGTTGTGGTCAAGTGCCATTTTTGTGGTGTGAACCGGCTTCTGAAGTCCTGTACCGCCTGGCGTTCTGGATCACATCAGGATATCCTGGATTTGTTGCTGATCTATAAGGACTGCTGGACTCTACAGATTTTTCTGGTTTTGGTTTAAGAGGCAGGATCTTCATGGTTCATCACCCAGGCAGCCACGTGCCTACCTTCATCGTCATTTCAATCCCTAACCCTTCATAGAAGGGTTTTTTCACCGGGAGTTTTCTACCGGGAGTTTTTTACCGGGAGTTCTACAACGGGAGTTATCCTACCAGGAGCACTATTCTTCCCAGGAGTCATTGCTCGACCAGGATCTGTTAATTCTACAAGGCCTTTGGTGGCTATATAGTAGTCTGGAATCTGGAATCTGGATATCGTCTCCTGTTTGTTCCTGATATGATGGATTTTCAAGGTGGAAATACGACAACTCTGTCAATGTCATCTGACATCCAGGGATGTGAAGTCAGCACCCCGCTCTCCGCCAATCTTCCCCTCAGAAGCTTCATTTGGTGGCACTGAAGCCATTTTTATCAAGGATAACTGGTGTAGGACACACCATACAGGTTTTTGACATAAAAATATATTTTTATTTTTCATTTTTATTCACTCATAATGCCTATTGCTAGTGTGTATAATGGACCATTTTTAAATCATAGCTAGGTCAAAAATTGATGAAATCACACATGAAAGGTACATACTTCCCCTTCACATAGTATACTATGCGCTGGTAGAATTCCTCCACATTTAATATTTTTTAAAAATCTGCTATGAATATAAAACGTCCTTACAGGAGCTTTTGATTTTTCAAGTACAATATAAGGTTGATTTATACATATTTTCATCCACATAATAGCAGGCAACAACAGTGTAGTTTCTTAACAGGAAATAAGTATCTAATATTTTTTTGATTATGCATATTTGTCAAAACCATGTGATATAATGAGTCCTATCATCATAATTAAATGTTTTGGGTATTTTATATGACTGTTTTATTTGTTTATTGACATGACACTCCAACTCACAACATCTCTAAGGTAAATTTAGGTCTTTTAGTCTGGGAGAACAACTAATATTATTCATTATCTGGTTGCTCAACTTTCCAGGTAACTTTTCTTTTGAATTAAAAGTTGCAGTGGCGCCCCATCTTTTTTGTTTAACCTTATGATTGCTAGATAACTGAAATTTTGCTATTTTAACTCTTTTTGATAACTCGAACCCATAGTGCCTACTGACGAAGAGCTGCCGTTCGCAATGCACCTATTTTTCATAAAAGTAGGGCTGCAACCTTCCTAAGGTCTCGCCTGTTGGGAGATAAGACCCCTTTTGTGAGCCTATTTGAAGATTCCTTTATGTGGAGCTTCGATTGTCTCATTCTTGTTGTGTCCTGCTATATTTCGAGGAATTGCTTTTGCAGCTGTCCCTCTATGGAGGACATTGCCAGACTGTTTGGTTTTCTCAGGATTGGTTCCGTTCAGACCGCGGTCCGCCCTGAACCGATCATGTCCAGTCAGTCTGCCTCTCCGTTTCCGGGTATCCCCGAATGGTTGTGATCCTATTGGATTGGAAAGCCAGTATTGCAGCTTTGCTGTCCGAGTATATATTATTATGGTCATTGGTCTACGACCTCTCATAATCAGTTTTCTTGGACACAGGTAGGTATTGCAAGAACTTCAGCCTAAAGAAACCAAGATTTCTTTTCCTGTTTCTTCATTGTATACCCCTGCACCTGAACTGCCCCCAAATTTTGAGCCATCTGTGTACCAGACTGATTCGTTGGGAGGAGGCAAGCCAGGTGTTTCGTCATTTCATTCTATCTTCGTAGGGATGGCAATGTTTAGGGCTTTGTTGAAGTTCAGAATCGGCAAGGTACTGCCCCTTCTCATCATGAGGATGGAACAGCTTTCCTTTGCCTTATTCCATGTGAGAAAGTGTCCATGATCAGCTTCTGTTCCAACCTACTGGTTTGCACAGTTGAGTCGGTAAGCAGTTCTCATGGCTTCGTGTTGTGTGAATAGGTGTAGAGGCGGCAGACCTAACAGAGCTTTGAAAGTCCTGGTAGGCGTCGTTCTCATAGCGCCTGTTGTTAAGAAGCAGGCCAGTCACTGGACTTTATCCAGTTCTCTTTTGGTCTTGCTCTTATTATTGGTACTGGTCCACCATACAATGGACCTGTACGTCAGTGCTGGGCGAGTTACCGCCGTGTATATCCAGTGGAGAGACTAAAGTGTGAGACCCCATGTGTTTCCAAAGGTTCGTCTGCATGCCCAGAAGCAGCATTAGTCTTCTTAGTTCGGTTTGCAATGTGCTCATTCCAAGTGAGCTCAGATTCTACTGTAACTCCATGGTACTGTGATCAGCTTTTGTATTGGGGACACTTGCCCGAAAGAAATTTTTCAGAAAGTGTTCCTATTTTGCGTTACTCAGTGAATAATGCCACATTCGCCTTTTCTGGATTGACTCAAACCAATTCACCGATAGTTGAAATGGTTGGGTCATTTTGATATCCTACAGAATGTCACAGGTTTGATGGAAGGCTTCTTTGTAGCTGTAATACTATCCGTAAGATAGTATTATGTCGATCACACACACGATGTAATGATGATTCAACAATGATTTTTGATATTTTTTGTGATAACTTTGAGAATTAACACAATTAACACGATTGAATAGCAGGAATAAAATGTATGCAAAACACACAAAATATGTAAACAAAGTGCCCTGATAACGCCGCCATCTTGTTTTTGATACAGCGCCCTCAACGGTCGATCACTTTGCCATCCAATGACTGCTAAATATCTAGACTGTCTGACGGGTTGTTCTCCGAATCGAACGTGCGCGGAGTGCTCTTTCGGAATACACCTATATTCTGATTGGTCTTGAACGGAAATTTGGTCAAAATAAATTTGTGTCATCACTGCCATCAGAAGAATGCAGAGTAGATTGCTACAAATTGCTACTTTACCGACATATCGACATATGAAGCGCCACCAAAGTCTTTGCACCAAAGTCAAAAAGTTTGTTCTTGGTTATTTTATACAAAGTTTATTTATCAGTTTTTTCTTCAAGATGTTTTCGAATTGTATAAAAAAAAATTGAAATCATGGGAGAACCTGCATCAAGTCGATTTGAAAAATCTTTAGGTTTGTTAACAACGAAGTTCGTTGCTTTATTACAAGGTTCAACTGGTGGTGTATTGGATCTGAAAATTGTAAGTTGAATTAATAAAATAGGATTCACAAATGAAACAATATGATTATTACATGATTAATGACATTTTTATTTATAAACAGGCTGCAGATATACTAGCTGTGAGACAAAAACGTCGAATTTATGATATAACCAATGTATTAGAAGGAATTGGCCTGATAGAAAAGAAAAGCAAGAACAGTATTCAATGGAAGTAAGTGTACCTACCTTATGTATTATCATTGTCTACATAGGAGCAATTCTTGATATTTCAGACCATATGCATGCAAATGTTTACCAGGAACAAATTCACAGGAGTTTTCTGTGAAAGTTTCACAACTCAAAAAGGAGCTTGCAAAATTAAGTGATTATGAACATGAACTAGACTTACATAGGCTGTGGATTGAACAGAGCATAAGGAATACAACAGAAGATTTAGAAACTAAAAAATTTTTATATGTAGAAGATGAAGACTTTGCAGACATTTATGATAGTAATGACAGAGTTTTGATTGTGAATGCACCAGTGAATAAATGTAGTGTTAAATTACAAGTAAGTTACAAATTCTAATATCTCAGTTGGTTCAATTATTAGTGAACATTTTTAGCCTTCCACTGATCTGTTTCATCTGAAAGTTACTTCTTCCACCACACCTATTGCTACAAATCTATTATGTGACTCTCTACAAACAAAAAATGGATTATCCAGGAAAAGACCAATTCTGGTAAATATGCTTTTGTTACTGTTTGATCAATCATTAAAAAAATTAACCACTTAGTTCCAGGGAAAACATGAAATTAGTGATGAACCAGAGATTAAGAAAATAAATTCCAGCCAAACAGTTCTCAGTGATGAAGATCCTGATCTTATAACAGCAGAAATACTGTTCAAAAAACACACTAGCAGAGATATGAACTATGAAATTTCTTCAAGTGACACAAAAAATAGATGTAGGTAAAGAGTGTACATGAAATATTGGTGGCTTTAACCTTCTGTATTATTTCAGATTCCTTCATTCCTCTCAGTCCATTGACAATTAATGAAGACTACAACTTTGGACTTTTAGATTGTGAGGGTGCTAATGAATTATTTGATATAAATTCAACTTATAGCACTGTTGATCTTAATTTATGAAAACCCCATGAAAACCTCTTTTTCAAATTTTGTTGATTGAGTGGTGAATGTTTCCTTTATTTTCATACTATAGAAATTGTTATAAGTTTGTACATTATGAATCAATAAAAGGTTCTGTTACTTATTAGATATTTTATTAGTTGAATATACCTCCATTATTTCCTAATGGAGCTGAGCAAATACTCTGAATAAATGAGTATTCAAATATATTCAGTATATTATCATTCAATACTGAGTAGGTTGAATAGTATACAGTCTGTCCAAGATAAGGTTGAACAGCATGGGGATCTCGAAAACGGTAAGAGATACGAATTCGGTTAAATGGGGAAAAAGTTGCGCATTCAGAGGCTCATATCAAGAGCCTTCGAAAATTTTAAAAATTATTTTTAGTTTTTGAGTTATATCGAAAAAAGTGAATTTTTGGAATATTTATTTTATTTTTTTTCTCCGTTATTATTAGAGATACAGCGAAACTGTGAATACTTTTTCATAGCAACTTTTAATGACGTTCAACGTGGTGATACCGATTTTTTTATGCGACGTTTCGTATCCGTAGAACCATCATCACCTTTTGTTTTTTGAATACGGTCCTAATAATCTTTTCACAGATTCTGAAAGGTTTTTTATTCTGAATTCAACCATGTATTATACAAGGTGGTTCATGTGTGTTTCGACCTATTTTTAGCCATCATCAATGTTTTTTCGAAATTCCAAAAGAAAAATGCCATCAGTTCCACTTATTTTGAAGGAAAATTAGTCAACACACTAATACCTCATCAACTGGTTTCAATCAACAACCCATTTCATTTTGCGGAAACAAAAATTCCATCCATACAAATTCAGAATATGTCAAGCGCTAAAACCAGGCGATGACGAAAGGCGCAGGACATTCTGTGAGTGGTAGGTATATCAGAAAATGTCAAAATTTTGCAGATTTTCCTCGAACAATCATCTGGACTGATGAAAGCATGGTCACTAATCATGGTATCTTCGATAGAAAAAATACACATTATTGTTCACGAGAAAATGAACATTTATACATTACAGCGAGACACCAACACCGTTTTGGCTTTAATATGTGGGTTGCAATATTTGGTACACGAATTATTGTTCCTTCTATTCACCATGAAACACAGACTTCCGAACGTTATAGAAATTCGCTTGAGAATCATCTTGAGGAAGATCTGGATGATTTATTACCTATTGCGGAAGTTCAGAACTGTTGGTTCAACAAGATGGCGCTCCGGTACATAATTCCAGAGAAGATCGTGCGTTTTTATCCCTTGGCCGGCGCGGTCGCCTGATTTGACACAGCTGGATTTTTTCTTAGGGGATATATAAAACTTTGTATACGCAAATATCTTTGATGATGAAGAAGAACTAAGGGACAGTGTCTTTGAAGCATTCAATAGAATAACCCCAGAAATACTTAGCAATGTCTAAGAAGCAACTGTGATGAGAAGAGGATATCTTTGTTCAGAAAATAATGGTTATCATTTTGAACATTTGTTATGAATGTCTCTGTAGGTATTGTCAAAGTTAAGTTGTTAAAGTAATTCGTGTAAGAATTCATCAACAAATTTTAAGCGCTGCATTGATCGAATGATGTAGTGAAATATTTTGTATTCACTTTTCAGTATTGAATAACTAATCCATCAAGTTTGACACTAAATGATCAGAAATAAGTGGAACTGATGGCTTTTTTCCTTTGGAAGTTCGAAAAAACATTGATGCGATGGATAGAAATAGGTCGAAACACATTCGAACCACCTTGTATAATACATGGTTGAATTCAGAATAAAAAAACCTTTCAGAATCTGTGAAAAAATTATCAGGACCGTATTTAAAAAACAAAAGTTGAAGATGGTTCTATGGATAGGAATCTTTGCATAAAAAAATCGGTATCACCACGTTAAACGTCATCAAAAGCTGCTATTAAAAAATATTCTCAGTTTTTCTGTATCTCTAATAATGAGGGAGAAAAAAAAAAGAAATTCGAAAAATTCACTTTTTTCGATATAACTGAAAAACTAAAAATAACTTTCAAAATTTTCGAAGGCTCTTGATATGAGCCTCCGAATGCGCAACTTGGACACCGAGGTGGGAAGTTGATTATTCATTCCTGTCGTGAGATTAGTTTGTTATCTAGTTATCGAGAAGCAAAGCGTCATATTTCGATCAAAATTAATGAATCTATGTTTCGTTCTGAACGTTACCCTAACAACACAGGGATTTCCTAGGTACGTCCCTTTTTTGTCCCGCGGTACAAGGACATGATTGGGACATCCAGGGGATATCCTGCAGTGGTTGTTCAGTGGACATCCCGCCCGGTACATCCCTAGGTTATCCTATTCGTGTCCCTAAAGTATCTGATGATATCCATTCACATCAGAGTCATTGAATTTCATCAAACTATTGAGTTGAATTTTTTCTGAAATGTTTGTTCCTCTTCCGGAGAATGATTGTAATGAAAATAAAGAATAAAGTCTCAGAACTTGAGAAATTACCATTTTTCGCAGACAGAAATCGTACATGCATAATGCCCATCATTTTTAAACACCCAAGAATGATAATAATTATACCCAATTCCTAATGAAGTTATATTTATTCAGGTTTCTGTAGTTAAGTCCTGTTTATGAATCTGTTTAGTACATAAATCTTCAGGAGGCATGATAGCCAATGGAGCAAGCTGCGTGCATGATAAGCCAAAGGTCCCGGGTTCAATCCCTACTCGACCGGCAACTTTTTTCTTTCGTCGAAAAGATGTCCCTGGGATATCCTTGGGACGTCCTAGGGATATCCTTTCATCGTACTTGGTACATCCCAGGGACGTAACAGAAGGACATCCCTTGGATGCCTTTTTAGCGGCCAGCGGATGTCCCTGGGACATCCCTAGTGTGTACGTTGTCCCGACAAAGGACATCCCTGGGATGTCCTAGTATAAAATCAGGGACGTCCCTAGGATGTACTGGTGTTGTTAGGGTACACTTCCCAACCTTCAATGACGTTAGTAATTACAACAATTTTTAGAACAACAACATTACATATATGGTTGTAAATAATAGTATATTATACACCTTGCAAGAGCACTCTACTTGTGCTTTTGCGTTCATGGATATATTTGCCTATGATGAGATTTAAAACATAATGTGAAAGTTAATTGGACACAAGTTCATTGACAATCACATTTGAAAAGTTTTGTAGGTGTTCCTCAATCCATTTTGCACATTGTTTTATGTTAGATAAGTCGTGATCTTTCAGTATATCCACTAAAAATAAAATGAGATTCACATTAGAGCATGTTCAAATGTCAGTGTGTCTGACAAAAAACAACTTCCCCAGATTATATTATTCATTGGCAAATTTTGATGGCCTTTGGGGCGTTTTTGTCAATCACCCTGTATATTTAGAATCAACACAAATTTATATACCTTCATCACATCTCGATGCTCTCTTCAATTTTGGTCGCTTCTTGTATCCAGATTCAACAAATCTCTTCCTTATGAATTTCTGCAGAATTAATTTGAAATTCAAATATATATACAGGGTGAGGCATGACTAACCAGCCATAGCCTATAATGGCGGATAGATAGAAAGTCAAGGTGAGTTGATATACGTATATATGTGAAAAAATATATTGTGCCTATTCCTAACAGAAATACAGGGCATTATTTGAATTCGGGGCGAAACTTTGATGAACGATAGTTCAGGAACGTCTTGATGTTTTCGCCTGAAATTCACCAGCAAACTATGGAAGACAAACTGCAGAGCCGGACTTGGAAAACTCATTTTCTTTTTAAAGGTCAAAATTTCGACTTTGTGAATCGCATTTTTCAAAAACTTTCATCAGAATCAGGGATATTATAGGCAAAACACTAGTGTAGCTTTTCAATTTGTACGGCACACTTCGACCGGATTGGTGAAAAAAATGAAATTCAGACGAATATTTTTTCGATTTCGTCCAGGACATTACTCTCGACATTCGACTAAAAGTATTCGAATCAGGTTTTTTGAATAGAAAGAGATGAGAAAAGTATTATAAAAGAAAAATCAGGACCGGACTTGGTTTTTGGAAAGAATTACAACACATTATAATTTTCGAAAAAGATTCGTCTGTAGATCCAAATATTTTTCAACCAAGATTCTCAAAATGTCCTCTCCCCAATTTCTATACATTTTCTGCATTTCTTCAGAAGATCTCTTATACAGCGACGTGTCTCATTTCAAACGGCCCCCCTCTATATCTCAGCTGTCAGTCGTGCGATCTTTACCAAATTTGTATCGGTATGAATAATCATCAATATGACCAGTTCGTCAGGGACAAACATCATTTTAGACAGTGCCGTGCATTTTTATTGAAATGAATAGGGGTCAGTGTTTTTATTAAAAATCATATCAGGCATTTTTCCACATAAAAACTGACCTCATAATATTATTCTTCATGGTTTCAAACCCACATATGTGGATTTTCATAAGATAATGCCTATGATTAAGGGTTTCATAAAAACAGGCACATCTAAATAACAGCATCTTTGCGAACGTAATAATTATTTACTCGGAAACGGTGAGATCAACATAAAAAAGTAGGTATAACCCGTTTTTCCTTCCACCTACCGGAGCCATTAAATGTTCCAAAATTCGTAGTTGATTTGAAGTCACTGCGAGACTGAAAATGAAAAAAATGAAGCCAATCCTGTTAATTCGGAATTAGGTGATTTTTTGCATATGGAGGTTCGAAAGCATGAGGAAAAATGATATGGGGTTAGATTTCCTGTGAAAAAATGCCTAATATGATTTTATGAAAAATCGACCCCTTTTTATTTCAATAAAAGCGCACGGCACTGTCCAAAATAATGTGCATCTCTGTAAAACTGATCATATTGATGGTTATTCATACCACACCAAATTTGGTTGGAATCGCATGACTAATAACTGAGATATAAATGGGGGCCGTTTAGAGTGAGACAAGCTGTATATGGTATTTCGAATAATTTGCCTATTATTTCTGATCTTATCTCATTGCCTCTCTTGTGTTGACTTCAGTCTGATATACCAATAGTTTCATGGATTGATAGATAATAGTCTAGTAATGTGAGATTAGAGGACCAAGGAGGGCCAAGAATGAGGGGCGCCAAGACCTATCCAGCGATTAGAGAATAATTGTATTCTCTCACTTGTATTGAGTAATGTGCAGGTGCCCCATCGCGTTAAGATAAAATACCTATTTAGGTCCATTTTCATACATCCATCACAGTCTTATTCTTTTGTGTGTTCCCTGAAAAATAAAAACACCAAACTCACAATTTGATTTGCTGATTGTAGTATGAGTTGGCACGTTTATCTGATTCGGAAAAAATATCTCACCTGAGCATTATTTTTTTATATATTTTATCTCTTGTAGCGCACGAAAGGAAACTCCTATAATGTTCGGAGAACATCGTGAATACCTACTTAGGAAGGATAGTGAGAGGTGGTAGGTATTGGATTTTTTTTTGAAAATTAAGTACCTACTTATTTCCATGTTTCTGAAGGTTTTTTCAAAAAGAGTAAGTCCGGTCGTGGAATTTTTCATCGAACAGAACCTTTTTCCATTTTTTATAATACACCGATATGCAAGAAATGGATTTGAAATAATTTGTTGAACGATGTGACTACAATAGCCAGTACGAAATCATGGAATCGTTCATCATCAGTATTTTGTTCGATATTTTTTCACCAATACGGTGAAAGTGTGCCGTACAAATTGAAAAGTTACACTTGTAGTGATTTTCCTGATCTTTCTGAATCTGATGGAAGTTTTTGAAAAATTCGATTCAGAAAGTCGAAATTTTGACATTAAAAACGAAAATGATTTTTCCAAGTCCGGCTCTGGATTTATTTTTTCTATAGTATGCCATCGTGTGGTGTGTCAGTAGAGGTGAGTTGCTGGTGAATTTCAGGCGATAACATCCTGAAATATCGTTCATCAAAGTTTCGCCCCAAATTCAAATAATGCCATGTATTTCTGTCACGAATAGGCAAAATATATTTTTTCACATATATATCAACTCACCTTGACTTTCTCTATCTACCATTAGGCTATGGCTGTTTAGTCATGACTCACCCTGTATAGAAAAATTATATAGGAATAGGTACATAAATAATGGTGAACCTTCATCCACTGTTTTGACTATATTTTTTCATCCAAAACTTGTGACATTATGAATTTATCGAATAGATCTTTATTTCATTAGGCTTTCTCACTTCAGAATAATATGCACCTATATACATATACAGGGTGGGCCACCAGTAACGCCTCGGTCTCTAGAAGGCTAACCACTTATCTTCTTGGAATTCTTCCTCTCTAGGAAGTTGCATGTTAACATAGGCTACCATTTAAAATTATTTCGAAACATACCATAAAACACTGAAGTTAAACTTTTTTCTATCGAACACCCTATATATTATTTCATTTTGAGATTCTCCCTGATGAGCTGATTTCAACGACCCATCATACTTGGGGTCTAGCAGTTATAATTACTGAAATATAGGGTGTGAAGAATCGAGATTTTCCAAGTTCAAGAATTTTTTGTGACGAAACTATTCATAATTGGTCGAAACGGCTTACATGTCCCTATCTCAACTTTTGATTAACTATCTACTGATATTTAATTGGGACATATACCTACCGGGTGATCAAGATTCTGAATTCTGCACCACCCTGTATTTGTTTCAATTAAATGTCAGTAGATAGTTGAACAAAAGTTGAGATAGGGACATGTAAGCCGTTTTGACCAACTATGGATGGTTTAGACACAAAAAATTCTTGAACTTGGAAAATCTCGATTTCTCACACCCTATATTTCGGTAATTATAACTGCTAGACCCCAAGTATGATGGGTCGTTGAAATCAGCTCATCAGGGAGAATCTCAAAATGAAATAATATATAGGGTGTTCGATAGAAAAAAGTTCAACTTCAGTGTTTTATGGTTTTTGGGGACACCCTGTATGTTTCGAAATAATTTCAAATGGTAGCCTATGTTGACATGCAACTTCCTAGAGAGGAAGAATTCCAAGAAGATAAGTGGTTAGCCTTCTAGAGACCGAGGCGTTACTGGTGGCCCACCCTGTATATTCACAAAACTTTTCTTTTAGGTCAGATATATTATTCTTTGGGTCACAATAAGAAAAAAATATTTCTTATGAACATTTTATTTTTGAAAACGATTTGTGTGTTCAAAGATCTCTTTTATCAAGTACCTATGAGTATATAGTGGGTTAAAAATAAACATGAGAATCTGAGAAAGACTGTAAATAGTAGGAGAGCCAGCTGCAATAAATTTCGACCGTCGTCTGATAATAAAATGCTTCCAAAGGCATAATGATTGAAAAATAACACTTTTCTGTGCGTTAATTTGCACTCAATTTCGCGATTTGATAACGAGATGAAAATTATGCCAATCGATACCAATTGAATGGTAGATCTCAAAAACATACCTGTGCCACCCCTTGATTTGAGCCAAATCCACGGCACCGCCTTTCATTTGCTGCCGTTATTCCGTACATATTTCGGTCATGTGATAACAAGTTGAAACACAAAGAAAATGATAATGTTTACCTTTGCGAATATCCAATCGTGCCGCGATTCATACTGAGCTATAAGTTAGTGGCAGAGCGTCAATATTCCCGAGAATATTTCGTCCTTCTCGAAAGATAATATCCGACGAACCCGTGTAAAACTCAACATGTGGATTTGAATACTTGTATTGCGACCACCACATGAGTTTCCAACAGGTCCATCGGATATTATCTTTGCACGAGGACGGAGTATTCACTGAAATATTGACGCTCTGCCACTAACTCAGCTCAGTTTGAATCGCGGCACGTTTGGATATTCGCAAAGAGGACAGTTTCCCCTTTCATTTGCTTTTTGTTTCAGCACAATTTCACATAACGGATGTATGTCCAAAATAATGACAGCAATTAAAACTGTTTGCCGTATATTTATCTCAGATCAAGATAAAGTGGTGGCACAGGTAGATTTTTGAGATCTACCATTCAATTGGAACCATATGGCATAATCCTCATCTCGTTAACAAATCGATAAATTGAGTGCAAATTACCGTACAAGAAAGTAAAATTTTACAATAATATAATAAGAATATATTAAAATAATCATAAAAAACTTCATTCCAGTCCTCCCAGATAGCACAAGTACATCTTATGGATATACTATGGGATATCCATCATGGATATTGTGGATGTCCATAAGATATCCGAAAAAGGTTCTGGTATATCCTATGAACGTACATAGGATGTGACAGTGTGACCTTTTTGGATGTCTTAAAGATATTCATTATGGATATCCATAAGATATCAATTATGGATATGGATAAGAGATAGTATACCCTATATATAGAAAAAATCACAAAAATTGGGAAGCACTCACGTCTCACTGCGTTCGAATAATGTAGTTGTCAGTTCTTATGCATCATCAATTTTGGACGAATTCGTAGAAATCACTTCCAAA